TACGACTCACAATAGTATAAACTAATCATTTTTTTACAGAATTTCATTCTTCATTAGTTTTATTTTAAGTAATGAGACTACTTTTACATACTGATAGTAACCAGGGTTTTCATACATAATTACTATATATACTGGTGGTAGCCAGAGTTTTTCATACAAAATATACTATACAAAGGTTTTTGTACAAGAATACACACATACTACGGTTGATAGTAACTAGACATACAAACTAACGTTTTTCTATACTACAACAGGATATAGTAACAAACATTCATAGTTAATTCTATAATTCCTTAGTTTAGGCATCAGGGTTACGTATGGAGAATATTCGATAGACTGTGGAATGTGTGGTTTCCGCCTCATTTCCTGTTCCTTGTTTGGCTGTGGGCTTAGGGCAGATTCACATAGTCAACTGTCTGTTCGATATTGGTCTATATGTGGCTAGCATGAACTATGTGGTTATATTATCTCACTCTTACTAAAGAAAATATTGGATTTTATTGGAAACATGCGAACATTTTTACAGAGTCATCAACAGGTTTTCTTTACAAAAACATCGCTTATAAACTCACCAGCTTTATGCTGATACTCTTTCAAAACTGCTTGTATTCTCAGGAAATCAGTAGACAGGTACCTCCTGGATTTTTGAGAAGACGGAGCGTATAGAGTCACGTCTTTTTCTTTTCATTATACTTTTGATGTATAAAAACAAGAATTAAACAGGTGTAAACCCTTTTCATATATGTATTCAATGTAATGGTTGTGTTTACTATGATTGTTATGATACAATTATTGTGATACTACATATGACGTCATCCACCCCCGAGCGTTTCCGTCGTTCTGGTTTGGGGGTGTGACAGGTTGCCTCATTTGGTAGCCTCCATTATCTGAGAACGACGCCTCACCGAAAACCTATCCTTTTGTATGTGTTTTGAATGTGTGAAGTCACTTTGTGAAGGTTGAAGGAAAAATGAGCTCATCTTTGTGTTTGTGTGCTTGGTTCCAACTTGGATCTCGTATCTTCACTTCACTTCTGATCATTTGGAGGTAAAAAGTCTTCTCCTTGATCATTATATCCTTGGATATAATAGTAGATCACTTTTATGAGTTTTTGGTCCATGGTTTTGGTTAGAGTGAATGGATGGAATAAAGTTAGCAACTGTATGGCCTTTCTGAGTCTCATGAGCATTATATCTTATGGATCTAAGAGTTGAATGTAGTTTGTGAACTTTGTATGAGTTTTAGGTCACATTTCTCCATTTTTGACCTAGTTTGAGTGATAGACTTGCATTGGAAATGCATGTATGAAAAGCATAGATTTTTATGTTGTGTTAGACCTTAGGAAGCTTTCTGGAAAGTTGGAATGGAGTGGCTTAATGGATTAGGAGCTTAATCCATTAGGCTATGAGAGCCTAGTTTGCACAGCATGGCAGCCTGCTTGCGACGACATGACGATTGAGGTTTGCTTGACTGTTTTGTCAAGAAGCGTCCACGGCGTGGCTAATAATGGCCACGACGTTGCGACCATCTAGAGTTGACTTTGACTCTAAATGTTGACTTTTAACTTGGTTGACTTTTGGTCAATTAGCTAGTTTTAGAAGGTGGACCAAGGGTTTACCTCGTGTAGTTTATTACGAGGTGTATATCACCCGTTCATTGGATGTGAGACTTGTTAGCTCTTGACTATGTTTATGAGGTGAGTCTTCTCACTATACTATGTAGGTTGCTAATTGTCTCTATGACTCTTGCATGAAAGATTGTGGTTGGATCACAACACTTGTATGAAAGACTGTGGTTGGATCACAACACTTGTTTGTCTTTGTGACTTGCATGGATGACCATGATTGGATCATGACAGAAAGGTTACGGCTGGGCTATAATCTGGAAGTGATTGTAAGACTATGGTTGGATCATAACGTTCACGTAGGGTTGAAATACACCCCTAGGGTTGGTCCCATTGATATGTATGGTATGCGGTATTTTGGGGAACTCACTAAGCTTTGTGCTTACGATTTATGTTTTAAATGTTTTCAGGTAATTTGAGTTCCAAAGGGAAGGGCCTAGCTTGACTGCACTGCATCCCCTGAAGGCTTTTCCCGCATTGATTATTAATATTTTACTCTGATGTTTGAGAGATACATTTTACTATGATTGGTTTTTGAACAAATATTTGTATGGATTTGATGGTTTTGAAAATGAAAATTTTTACTAGTATTTTTTGGATGTTACATCGGCACTATAAATTGCACCGATGCATTGCATCACCATGTACGACAACGCCCTTGAAAACGATACTTTTCTACCCAAAAACAACATGTCACTGACAGATTTATATGACCGTTTCCCAAACTCCTAAATCGTTAATAAATATTTAATCTGAAACACCGATTACCATAAATTGAAGAAATTAATCAGGACGGAAGGAAGCGGATGAGATATGAGATGTCAGAAGTGCAATAGAGAAGTGCAAAAATCATGCCACCGAAGGCCTAGACGATTCCTTGGACGTCGAAGGAGGAATGATCATCATCATCAACACCAATCACCATCATCAACAATAATCACCATCACTATCGTTATCAATCGCCATCATATGTTGAGAGAACATATGAAATAGGGGAGGAGAGAATGGTTGGTATGGAGGCCGACTATAGGGCAAAGGAGGACGCGGGATGTGGTAGAGAGGCCGGAAGCTTTTAAGCCTTTAGGGCATTTCTTTAAATATTTTACTAGAAAGGTCCCCTAAATTTCAAAAATGACAAAAATAAATAAAATAAAATAAAAAGAGGGTGATATGAATAAGTTTACACTTATTTAAGAGATGAAACATGATGAAACTTAAAGGAGTTAGTCTCAAAAACCACTAATGCAATAGATACAAACCATCCGGATCAGCTATGTAAAATATCCATTAGTAAAACCAAATGTAGGAATTTGAACAAACCACATGGACCAAATGTATAATTTACTTAAAAAAATGATATAAAGAATGGATGGATAAAGATTATAAAATGTCGTATTTGAAATTTTTGTACCCGACCTACACAGCTGCCATCTGCACAGTAACACACGTCCACAAGGAGCAATAATGGCGGTTTCTACACTGGTGGTAGTTTCATTGAAGATGCTTTTTAGCGTATTGGCTTTTATAATGTTAGCTCTGGCTGTTTGGGGAATCGGTTCGGATGGCCTCGCTCCTTGTGTCGATATACGCATAAAGTAAGTTAAGAGATTAAATCACAGATCTGTGCATCCAGATTACCGGTATGATAGTGACTTTGAACAATTGTGTTTGATTGTTAAGTATGACTATGTTTTAACAACATAGGTTAATTATAAATGATTTTAGCTCTTAATCAAAGAGGAAAGGATTTATTTTTTAATGAGTTCATCGACAAATTAATTGCAGGTGGATGCTAGTGACATTGATAAACTTTTACATAAATCTTGGTGTTATATTGGTAAGAAATATCATTTTAGTTAACAAGGTTAAGTTGATTGGATTCCATTTCTTCGAGTTTGAAACTTTATATGTATATATTTG